TGACTACCATTCAACCCTGGAGCTCAGCAACAGTAAACACTATAAATAGATTTCTCCTTGGATGGAGGGCCTTCTGAGTGGCTTTAAAGGACCCCTGAAGGATCATGTTGTCACTTGTGTAAGGAAAGAAGCGATTTTATCCTGAAGATGTTCACCGCCCCAGTTGTAAATTCATGACATTGAGTCAAGAAGTTCATGTGGTCTCTAACAACATTACCCAGATAAGAATTACTGCTGGCCCAGTAATTCTTCTGAAACACAAATCTGACAGATAATAACAAGAGTTGGCAAGGAGAATCAGAACCCTTTCACATTGCTGGTGGGAATGTGAAATGATGCAGTTGTTTTGGGAAAGATTCAAAAGGTTAGACATAACTTTATCTTATGACCAAGCAATTCTGCAACCAGGTATCTGTTGACAAAAAATGAAAACATAGGTCCACATAAAAATATGTATTAGAATGTTCAGCAAAGGGTCCTACCGAGTGGCCAGAGGAAGGAGTTACACAAGTGTCTATCAGGTGGTGAATGGACAGATCAAATGTGGTCTATGGTCTACGCATACAATGGAGCATTGTTTGGCAACATGGAAGACTCTTGAAAACATTATGTTAATGAACAAAGCCACTCACAAAGGAAACATGGGTCCATTAACATGAAATGTTCAGAATGGGCAAAGCTGTAAAGACAAAAAGTGGATAGATAAGTGGTGGCTGAGGGCTGGGAAGAGATGGGTGGAAGAAGGCCTGGAAGGGTGTTACTGCTAAAAGGTGTGGGGTTTCTTTTGGGGTGATAAATGCTCCAAAATTGACTGTGATGATGGCTGACAACTTAGTGAGTCTACAAAAACCATTGCCTCGCACACATTAAATAGGTGAATATCATGATATGTGTATTACATCTCTATAGAAATGCTACCTCAAAAAATAGAGAAAAAAATGTATCGGCTTATTTCACTACCCAAGACTTTCTGCTATTTACGCATCACCCAAAAATAAAGCCCAGGCTCTTTAGCCTTAGCAATTCAGTTCTACCCTCTTTTTCGTCTTTTACTCCCCTTGACAAATACCTAAATCCCGAGCCTCCAAGCAGCTCCTGTTCTGGAACATACCATGCTGTTGCTTCCACTGGAGCCCATTGTTATTGTCAACTGGAATGCCTTTTCCCTGTCGTCCCCATAACAAATGCTGGCTTACTCTTCAGAATCCAAGACAACGTCAGTTCTTCTGTGAAGCTTTCCCAGTTTTCCCCAGGATAGTTCCTCTCACTTCTGGGCTGCCATGGCGTTCTGTTTATAGTCTATTCTGGTGCTTATCACATTTTATTTTAATTACCTGTCCACACAGTTCCTTCCCCATTAGCCTGGACCATGGCCACTTCAAGGACAGAATCTTTGCCTTATTTATCTCTGTACCCTTCTCTCCAGACTACTCCCACCACCTCAGTAAACATGTCTACACACACAGAAAAAGAAAGGCAAGTATAGTTTAGTGTCCAATCCATAAGAAGTAGCTAGCATGTGAAAAGGAACTTTTAATGCTCCCAAATATGAAAGGAAAAGAATAAAAGAGCACACACTCTGATATCTGAACAACTTAGGTTTAACTCACATCTCTCCGCGGTACCTGAACAACCTTGGTCAAGAACTTCACTGAGTCTTCCCCTCCCGAAAGATAGTGCAGAACTGGGTGGTATGATAATCATATTAAGTAACAAGATGAGTGGTTTGTCAACAACCCCTACACCAAACTTTAGAAAGGAGTATTGAACACATATCAAGGAGTATTGAATACATATCCTAAGGTTGCTCAGGATATTCAAGAAATCCAACTCTCTGACCAGGAAGTCTGAGCTTTGTGTCACTGCCACAATTTGCACCTGTGAACTGATAGTTACTGCTGATTATTTAACTTTCTTCTTACTTTCTGAGGACACTGGAGGTAAACAGAGGCCACTCCAAGAAAATCTTCCTGACTTGAACTGTATACAGTTTCTGCCTCTCAAAATAAGTTTACTAAATTGAGGACTCCTAGATTTGACCGCAAGACAAATGTATACACATCAGCTTCCATCCATGCTCCCTGCCCAGCCAGGTCTCTCATTTTTAGGACCAAACTCAAACCAAGTCTCCTTTAAACATCTTTGTTAAATAGTCTTGTTCTGTATTCTCTGAGGCCTTACATGCTGAAACACTTATTTTAACCATACACCTCTAAATTTCACCTTCGAGTCACAGAAATAATTGCCAGCCTAGGTCTGTACATCCCTCTTATTCCTGCCCACTGATTTGGTGACAACCTGCAACCTCATCATCCATTAGAACTACATTCTCTGATGCTGCCTTCAGTGCTGTCTCAGTGCAGGTCAAATACATTTCTCAGAACTCTCCTCCTGATCTTCTGCAGCCTTGGACATTTGATAACACTGTGTGCCCTCCAGGACACTCCCTCCCACTTCCCAAGGCCTATCTCACTTTTCACCAGCCCTCACTCACTCCTTTCCCTACCTGGGCCTGCGGAAGGGTCCTGTGTGGCCCAGTCTCCTGTATCTAAAGCTCCAGCCCCGCATTCTTTTCTTACCTCTAGGTGAATGTAGTCAACTGCCTTCTGGCCATTTCTACTAGAATATCTCGCTGTCATTTAGAATTCAATCTGTGTAGACAATATGAGCATTGCTCTTGCACAACATTATCTGTAGATATTAATATCTTGATAAACCACAAATACCTTTCCCTTTTTTCCACACCTCTACCCTGAACTGGTCTCTATCAGAATGTCACATGGACTTATTTAACCTAGAATATGAGCCGACCAAGATGGGAATGTTCACTTTTTCAATATGATTGATGATAGATAGATAGATAGATAGATAGATAGATAGATAGATAGATAGATAGATAGATAGAGCCTGGGATGTTAGGGTTTATATATTTGTACAGGATCCTTTCAACTATCAGTCAACATATCATTTGGTGCCTACTCTGTGCCCAGCACTGTGCTAGATGCTTCTTAAGATATAATGATTACTACATATAAGCTATCATCAAGTAGATTACAGCATGTACCATCTCAAAAATAGCATAGCAAGCATGAAACAAGACTCATCATCTTCTCCAGCAGCTGGCAATCATTCTAGCCACCCATGTTTATAACAGTGGATTTTTTGTTTTGTTTTGTTTTGTTTTGTTTAGGGTATCATTTTGGATTCTGTGGATTTTTTTGGTTTTCTTTCTTTCCTTTGTTTTTTCCCCATGCCTTCTTCATCTTCTTCACCCTTGCCCCCAACTCTGATTAATTTTTCAATCCCGTTGGTTCCTCTTCCTTGGCATCCCTGGCACACATTCTTTCTAATGCTTCACCTCAGCATAAATGTTGCCTTGACAGGGACTCTGAGATGAGGCCTCCCCCCTGAAAGTGTCTCCATGGCCTCTTCCTTCTGTAAAGGGTCTCTCAGACCTTCTGGATTAAATCTCCTAATATGCCAGTTCCAGGACTCAGTTCTTTATTCAAAATTGTCATGACCTACAGCAACTTCCACAGACTTACAAAATTTTAAAGTCGTGAGGAACAACATCTATGTCTTTGAGTCAAACTCCTACCCATTGTTGCCCTCCACTCTCTTCACACAATACAGTCCCCTCTTGAAATCACCCAGGAGGAAGGAGCTCACTCCATCCCAAGCAGTCTACTCTATTGTTGCCCCAGTTAGAAAATCCTTCTCAAATTGGCTGATTCTCTTCTTTATCATCTCCATCCATTGGCTCAGTCATATATTTTTACTTTCTATAATCTTCTCTTTACTAACAATCCAGAAACTTTCTCCAGCCTCAAACTCAACGCTACCCATCCACCTGCCTCTAATCATCTTCTGTCCTCTTTGTCCCCATCTACTGGGCAAAGGAAAGAAAAGGGGAAGGCTGTGAAAAGAATTTATTGTCTCAGTTATGTACAAAAGGAAAGGAAAGTGCTATCCCTGCTCTCCGCCCTTATAATGTGTGATGTGTGTCTGTTTTCTGTATCTCGGTGTAGCTCAGCTCAGCTGGACTTCACATTCTGTATTCATCTGTTGTTTCTGGAGGGTTAAATCAAGCACAAGCAAAGCAAATTTTGCATTATGCTTAAATTGTTCCCTAATATGCCAATCACATTGAAACAAATCCACCTTTAATCAGAGAAAAGTCCTCCAGTTACCTACTATTGCACACATAGAGAACATTAAGAGCAAAGTGTAAAAATAGACCCAAAAGTGTAAAAATAGACCCAAAGTGTAAAAAAAAAAAGTTGAACTGGTATTTACTTCACCATTCATTATAGTCAAATCTACAATACTCTACACAGAGGATTTTTACTGGGAGTAATTACTTTCACCACCAAAGGGACACTTGGCAATTTCTGGAATCATTTTTGGTTGTCACAGCTGTGGGGAGTGCTGTTGGCATCCAGTGGCCAGGGACACTGCAGAACAAAGAGTTTCCAGAACAAAGAATTATCTGGCCCAAATTAGATTAGGTTAGGACACCCTACTGTAAACCTATTCCTCTGTATTTTCTCCTCTTGGCCTGCCTTGATTTAGGATCCTGTGTCAGTGGGATCGGCCAAAGTGCTGGGAGGCTGCCAGAGGGAGGCCTGTCCCCCATGGAACTGCAGGTCTGTGGTGTGACCTCCCATCCATGCCCTGACCTCCTGTGCCCCTGGCAGGCCCATTGAGATAATTAGGTCAAAAAAGCAGGCAATTGGCTGACTACCAGCTGCTGTGCTCAGGGTTTGTTTCCCCTGGGAGTCAGGGTAGAGAAGGGGAAGAGAGAAAACAGAGGCAAGGAAGATAAACTGCAGAGCAGGGGGCTGGGGAGAGTTGGGGAGGCCAGGCTAGAATTGTGGGTGAGGTTGCATCGTTAAGGGCAAGCCTGAAGATTTCTTACCTTCCATCAGCTAATGATAAAAACATTTCTCCTTACAACTCAGTAAGATCTTACAGTTTACAAAGTGTTCTGCATTTGTTACCTCATTTAGTTCTCACAACCAGCTGGTGACATGGGGACGGCAGTTACAGGTGGCCTGCTTGGAGAAGGAGAAACAGAGTATCAGGCAGATGCAAGAACTGGAGGTTCTTCAGAAATAACTAAGAGACCAAAAGGGAGAAACCAAGAGTGATCTAGAAGGAAGAATAAAGGAAAATTAACTATGGTGTGAAGGTGGAATTAGGACAAAGAAAAACCTGGAAGATAATAGATGTTTCACAAATGCTTGTTAATTCTCTTATTTTTTTAGGAAAATGCAGTCTGTGTTAGGAAAACAAGGCTTTGCCTTAACATAGTACAATGGAATGAACTCTAGAAAAGGGACCCACATGTTTGAGGTGTACTCCCATTTTTCTTACCCCCTGACCAGGAGGCCTCATTTTGCTGGACCAGTTTTCCTCTCAAAGCAGGAAGTTTGGGTGAGTCTGTCTTCTCTGGAGAGCCTTCCAGTTCCAGGGGGGCTGGACTCCTACGTTTTCGACTCCCCAGGCTGCTCATTGTCAAGTGCAGGCTCTGGCCATGGCCTGCAGCAGCCAGACAGGGACTGGAGGGTTCCAGCAGATACATGTATTTGCAAATGACATTTGCAACTTTCCAATCCCCTGTCACTGGTGCTGTGTCTTCATCTTCACTAGGACTGGTTGAGGAAGCTAGGGCGGGGGTAACAAATCCCTCCCTTTCGGAGAAAGACCACGCAGAACAGGAAGAACGTTGCCCAGGAACCAAGAGGTGTGCTTTCTTCCTGGCTGGCAGGTTCCCTTGCTTGAGTTCTTCCCATTAGAGCTGCTCCAGGGGCCACTGCTTCATTTAGAAGATCCGGTCTCGTCACCTGCACCCACAGAGGGCCCACGAGCCCAGACTCTACATTGCTGATGCCCTCTTCCATCTCTCCCCGCTTTGCCAGTTGCTCCAGGGACTCTGCTTCTTTCTGTTCCTTGAACTCACCAACCTTACTCCATCTGTGTCCCCGGCACCCTCGCTGTCCCTGGTCTCGAGAGCTTCTTTCCCCAAATATTCACATAGTGGTTCTTTCCGGCCCTTGAGACTCTGATTGAACATGCCCTTCTCAGGCAGCCTTTCCCAGCCACTCCTGGCTGAGATCATCTCTCTGTTCCCACCTCCCAGCCCAAACTCTAGCCTCTGACTTTGTATTATTTCTACATAGATTTAGGAGACTTGCCCCATGGAGGAACAATAGCCGTCTCCCCCAGCCTTCCCCCTTCTCTGCAGGGCCAGTGCTGCTTATCTGACTGGAGAGTTCAGAGAAGCAGCCGGGACTGTGTGGAACAGCCTCTCCCTGTCTTCTGGGATCTGTTTCATGCAGAAAGTATCAGAGCTGGTCTGTGGTGGACCAAGGAGAAGGCTTAGTGGTAAAGATTCTGCTCCTCATGGGGGAAGGCCATGGTGAATGCCTGGGACTAGATCTGCAAGTCTGTCTAATTCTAGGGTAGAGCAGCATGGGGCCCATCGTTGCTACCCTCCTGAGCCACATCCTCCAACCTGGCTTTGATGAGCCACAAAGCTGGGGTGAGTCATACGTCTGTCTCTCTGTTGGTTCAGATCTGAGGCAGGGAGCACCTTGTCATTCATGGGTCCCACAAGACCACAACATTGACCTCTTCCTGAGATCATCATATTTATTGGCTGATTCATTTGTTTATATGTCTGTTGTCTGCCCTTCCCCCCTACACACACACACTTCCCTCTCCCCTCCGCCTCCCACAGAATATAAACTCTTTGAGAACAAGGCACTTACCTTCTTCACTCACATCTTCTGTGCCAGTGCTTGATTCAATTAGGTGTGAAAAAGCACCTGCCAAATGAATAAAAGAAACTTCTAGATGCCTTGGCATTGCATGAGACCCCTGATGTTTGCCAGTCCAAGGGTGGGGAATCCCATTAATGAGTAAGACTAAATTTCTACCTTGCTCAGAAAAGTGGGAAAACAGAATTAGGCTCAAGTTGAGTTAAAGAAATGTTTAAAGTATTTCTCAGACTCCTAAATTATAGATGAGTCATCTCCATGGAATGTGATTTCTTGAAGATGCAGAAACTGAGGACTACCAAGGTTGGGTTATTTTCTGAGGACTCCACAATTAGCGAGTCACAAATCCCTGGGTTGCCACTGCTTTAATTCACCTTCTCCTCCATCTGCAAAGGCAAACATGGATCCTACCATTGCTTTATTCAGAAAACCCAAAATGCGGACTTGCCAGTCCTTGTCTTTCTCTGTGCTTCTCACTTCTTGCACATTTTCAGTTCTGATCAGTTGGAGGCCCCCGGGACCTTGAACCTGCAGGTTCTCTGAGGCTCTGGGCAGAAGCTGTCTCCAGCATGGGGCACACTCAGAATTTTGCTATCCCAAATTCAGTCCTGGTGGGCGTGAGTGCCCCACATGCTCGCCAGACTCACCACCCCCTCTCAGGACAGTCCAACCAGTGCCACGGGCTCCTGCTCTGCTTTCTGGCTGGACAGTGACACCGAGATGTGCCCACTTGACCATTGTTCCATCATCCAAGCCACCCTCAGCCCTCCCCCTCAAGGACAGTCTCTGCCCCTGTGTTTGAGCCACTGTGGAAAACCTGGGAATTTGCATGAAGCAAAACTCTGCTTTCTGATGGATTTCAAGACTCTCTACTGCCTGCAAGTCCTGTCTTGGAGGACAGGTCTGCACCAGTCTGATTTCACCTCTTGGGAAGTGGGCCTATGTCCCCACAACTTCTCAAAGGAAACCCTGTAGGCCCAGCCAGCCACTGCCAGCACCATCCTCAGCTCCATCCTGCTCATCACCCCCTGCACTGGCCTCAGCCTCCCTCCAAGGAGCTGCTTCCTCTCAGGGCTGATGCTTCCAGGAGCTCCTCCCTCTGGGATAGACTCCTCCCTCCCCTCTGGCTGCCATTTTCCTCTTCCTGAGCTTCCCAGTTCTATGCCTCGACTTCTCTCTCCTCCCCCAGGCCCTTCCTGTAAATTTCACATTTGAAAACAAATATTGATTTCTTTACTCATGCCCCTTGCCAAGGTCATAAGACACCCACACACATGCATGCACACACACACGCATGCACACATGCACGCACACACTCACAGAAAACTAAAGGTAAGGACCTGTTATATTTCTGGAAATGAATGAGATAAGAATAGGGGAGACACAAATGAAGAGAATCCATGGCTTCTTTGTGTGGGTACAACAAACAGTCGCCATTATTCTCAGAGTCTGGTCTTGACCCTGAAGCTGCATTGAGAGCTCAGGTGGTGTAGTGTTAACTGGGAATGAGAGCCCCAGAGGGCTGTTTTCCCATTTAAAAAAAAAAAAATCAAAGAGCATGCTAACTTCTCCATCTTGTTACCCATAATGAGAGTGCGAGACCCAGATCTGCCTGGAGTCCAGGTCGGCTGGAGGACTCCAGCCTCATCTCCCGCCCTAGTCACCCACCCCCAACTCCCTTTTCCCTGGGCTAATAAGTAACCCGGAGAAGGTTTGTGCACTTTGCTTATTGTATTTGGCTCGGAAATACATTCTCTTTATCACCCCCAACCTCAGGCAAATGCCTTCTGATATCCATTTGTATGCCTGAGCACATGGAGCAATTGGGTTTAATGTCATTTTCTGGGTAACTGCAGGAAGCAGAAGGTCACCGGGCACAGTAAGGACTTGGCTCCTCTGAGGGATTCACTGCCCAGGGACTGGTCAGCTCCTGTCTCAGGCTGAGCAGCCTTCTCCCAGCCACAGTGACAGGCCTCTGGGACATCACCTCTTCATCCTCGTCCCCTGCTGACATGAGTCCCAGTTTACCGAAGACCATGTTCACATTCCATAGAATTTGCATAGAGCGGGACAATTTATTGAGACTTTAATGGAGCAGAATAACTGACTCAGAAATTACCTAGGTCTTGTTTTTCTCTGCAGTGGGCTCAGCACAAAGGCCTTTCGGCTGCCACTCGCAGCTTCTTTCCCCAGGTTTGTGTCCTTGAGGTCTAAGTTTCCTTGCTCGATTAAAAGCATTTATTTACCTCTGTTTCATAGCACATAGGAGAAGTTGCCAGGTACCATTATTTTCGTTAAAACTCATGGACAATTGAGTGATTAAATGGGATATGTCACTAGGGAAGGAGCTGGGTGGCTTTGCGGTGCAGGGTTAGGGATGAAAAGGACTGGTCAAGGAGGAGGCCTGTTTCTGTCCCTGAGGAGGTGACCAGGTCCTCAGGAAGGTTGAGGAGGACAGAAGAGGCCTAGAGCTCCCAGAACACCACACACCTGATCCCCGAGATGACAGCACTCCAAGGAAGGAGGACTCAGGTGGGAGATTTGCATGGGTGCCCACAAGGACAGAGCACCTGGCCTTGGCCATGGACAGCCTCATGAAGGCCTCCCCTGGCATCAGCTTGCCCATGAGGGCCTGGCAAGGAGAATGGTTAAGTGTCCCCCACATACAAAGACCAGATTGGGGCCTCTGAGGACCTGAGAAGCTCAAGTGATTTTTTATTAAACATGTATGCCCTAAAAGCATGCAGACGTTGGTAACCTTGGGGCGTGTTTCTGCCACATGTTTATAACCCCTGGGCTGGTAGGGGCTGCTTGCCTCCAGAGAACTCAGCAGCAGTGGTCACCTTCTGGTGCAGGGGTCAGAAGGACTCTGAACAGCACACTGGCCCCAGGAGCCACTTGAGGATGCCAGCAGCAGGAGCCACCAGGCACTCAGCTGGGCTCCCTCTTGATCCAATGGGCTTCACCCAAGTATTGGCCACTCGCCTAATTTCATGACTCTCCATGTGCCGTTGTCCTCTCTGCTCTGCTGATCTCTGACCTTTGGCTCACACTTGTGTCCATGATCCTATTTCCTCCCCCCAGATCATCATGTTTTCCCTATCAGCCTCTGGTTTCAATCTACTTGCCTAGACTGAATATATGCTTTTGGGCCTTCCTATATTAAATTTTAGTGAGTCATTTTCAGCCTTCTGAAAGCCTAGCTTCAGGTCAGAACAGATAGCTATGTTCCACTCTCCTTTTCTCTGGAGGCTTTTGAGCAAGTCCAAATGTGCTTGCTACTCTCTCGCCAGTCCCTCTGCAGCCAGCTTTATGGACCTCAGTCACTTTCACGGAATCCCAGAGACCTTTGACCCCAGGCTCCTAAGTGCTCTCCCTACCCTAATGTCTGTCATCAAGCCAAATGGCTTTATTTTCAAGAGGATGACTCATCTAATAACCTCAAAGTTTCTTGATTTCCTCTACTCTAACAAATTTAACCTCTATTCCATTTAAGTGACCCAATCCCATAGCAATGTCCTAGAACTTGTCATCACTTAAGACCATCTTGTTGACAAACTCTTAAGTTGGAAAAGCCCATTCTCTAGCCCAACTTCTTAGCTTTCCATCTGTGACTCCTTGAGAACCATGTATGCCCTCCCTGGGACCTCCACGCGCTTAAGCATCTTCCGTTTTCTCGTTATTAGTTTTTCTGACTTTGCTTCTTTACCTCCAGATTCAACCATGTGTCTGTTCCTTTAAAAAGAATGGTAAACACATAGCAATGTGTGTGTGAGATTTTATCAAAAGCCCTTTCTGTATATTAACTATCTCATCTTTTGCATCAATTTACAGAAAAAGAAGTAAACTTGAGTAGCTTGCCCAAGCTTTCCCTGACAGAGCCTGCTACATAAATACAGAGCCCAGTGCAGGGCCCCGTGCTCAAAAACTTCGGGGGAAATGCTCTTGAAAGCACTAATATATAAAGTTTTTTTCCTTTAACAACATTTGTTGTGGGCCTCCCCTGGTGGCACAGGTGGTTGAGTGCCACACTGTGAAGCTGTCCGCAGCCTCTACAGCGCCGGTTTGATCCCGGCCGGCCAGAGAGGGTCCCATATGGTACAGCAGACCCCTCCTGTTGTACCCGCTGCTCCCCTCAGCAGTGTATTTCGTCAGTCTGCCTGTTCTGTTCCCTGCTCTGTCTCTGATGAATCCTCTCACCTCCCATGCATCTGGCCTGTACCCCAGTTCTTGTATAAAAATAAATAAATAAATCTTTTTAAAAATAAATAAATAAAAACATTTGTTGTAAAAAACAATAGAAATTATCATTGTGAGTAAAGAAAAGTGAACATTAGCTAAAATGTTCTTATTCATTTTTATATTGGGTAAACCCAGTCTTCAATGCAAGTAAGAATATTTAACTTATAGACAAAATCACCAGAATTATTTAGTTTGTACATGCATTTTTAAATTATCCTTACCAAAACAGTGACAACACCGCACAGATTTAGTTATTTTACTCCTTGATCAGCAACTGCTCTATCAACACTCTTTATCTTCAACTTACTGGCAAGGAAAGAAAGACTGGAAGGAAAGGATATAGGTGGCCCGCTTTCTCTTCCCTGGTATATCACGGTCTCCAGAGTAAGTGGTTGACAAATACCAGAGTCATGCATGTAACAATGACAGGACAGTCTCCCTTTATGGATTATGTGTTGTAGAAGGCCACTGTCTTCTGGGTGGGAAGTAAGTTCTGGCTAAGGGAAAGCATGGCCCTCTTGGGGCTGTCAGAGCTCCACATACTCAGCAACAGACATATTGATATGAAACATTAGCAGAGTTCCATGGAACCACGATGCCGAATTATTCAGCAAGATTCAACGTGAGCACAAGTAGGCAGGGAATCTTCCTGAATGTTCTACACAAATAAGGCAGCAAGGGGGGAGCTTGATCATGCACATATGCATGCTTCCTCTGAATGCATACATGCTCTGTTGTCCCACCAGACTTAGTAAGCTCAGGATCAAAGGAGACATTATTAAGAACCATGATAGTGTCAGCAGAGCAGGACTTCCTGAGAACAGGGCTCTGTCGATGGCATTTGTCCCACGCTTGTCCCAGCCACATCCTTAATTCATGAGTGTCAGGATTTGAACCCCAGATCCTAATTTCAGAGTCTAGACCCTGAACAACTACAGTGACACTTTTTCTCCTCAACTGTGCTTTTTCTTACTGTTTTAATTTAGCTTTATCTTCTTCACCACTGCTTCATATCAGAATTATTGACAAGAATCACATAACTAGCTGTCTGGAATGGTCAGATACTTAATACTCCCTTCTTCAGACTCCAGCAGTTCCCTGTCCTGTTTTCATGGTGGCTGTTGTAAGCCATTCTTCAAGGCCCCCTCAACAATAAGCCAGTGATTCCCAATTCTCTTATCTTTGGTATTTACCTTCTAAACTTTAGATCTATTTATTTGTAAAAGTGATCCTAGTTTCCCCATACATTAAATCTTAAGACTTTATACAAGTATCACAGAAGGCTGGAAAGTGCTATAGGCAAAAAGAATACAAAAACCTGAGATTCAGACTTTTAGATAATCACCATTAATAGGTAACCACCTAATTAACACTATGGACTTTTTCTGTGAAAAATGCTGCATTTGGGGGGCCTCCCTGATGGTGCAAGGGGTTGGGCACAGCGCTGTGGAGCTATCTACAGACACTGCAGCAAGAGGTCTATGCCCGGCCAGGGAACTACTACCCACATGGCACAGCAGACCTCTCCTGTTTCACCTGCTGCTCCCCTTAGCAGTGTATTTCAGTCAGTCTGCCTGTTCTGTTCCCCACTCTATCTCTGGTGAATCCTCTCACACACACCCCTCCACACCTCTGGCCTGTATGCCATTCTTATATACATAAATAAATCATTTAAAAATATACTGCATTTGGGGAATAAAAATTTCCATTTTCCTTTGATCACACTTTACACATGACTTGGATATCCTTTGTAAAATTTACACTTTGCAAATCACTATAATTCAATGGCATCATGTTAATGGCTGCACGGTATTTCATTGTACAGTTGTGTCAATATTCTTACACGTTTGGCTTCCAATTTTTGCACACTAGCCTTATTTCAACATTTTCTACCACAATAAACATGGCAAGGGCCTTCCTTGCAACTGAATTTCTGAGACCAACCACATGCACATTTTTTAAAGTTGTCCATAGATAGCCTCAAAAAAGATGGTCCCACTAAATATTCCCAGCAGCCCTTAGTCCTTGCCAAGAATAGATAATAACATTGTTCTTAATCTTACCTGTGTATTTTTCTGATTATTTCGATAGTATTTTTTTCTACTTTACCTTTTTGTTTTCTTTGTCATCTTAATCTATAACAATGCTCTTTTATTTACAGCTATGTGAGAAATACCTACTGTTAAGTACCCATAAGATGACTACAATGAGATTTCCCCAGAGCATTTCAACATCAAAATTTCCAAAGCCAAATTGATTATCTCTCCCATTAAAAAAAAACACTTGCCCCTGTATTCTCTCTCTTAGTTAACAGTATCAATGTCTCCCACATTGGTCAAGACAGACATTTAAAAAACAAACACATCTTCTCCCTCTCCTCTGGCCCAGGTGCAAAGTTCCATTCGCGAATAGCCCACAGTCCATCCCATCTTCTCTGCTCTCCCCCCACTTAGCTTGGAGGTAGTCTCACCTCACACCTTGATCTCATCTGCTCTTTCTCAGACCTTGACAATAGCCTCCTGGGAACCAGTTGTCTCCTCCATTTCATCCTCCATGCTGACACAGGACAACCTTCTGAAGGAAAAAATCTGGTAGTGTCAGTTCCTTCCATAAAACCCTGCTGTGGCTCCCTGTCACTCTATAGTGTGATCATCCCTTAGCCTCACATCTGGGAGCCTATACATGGCACTGCATGACTTTCCATACCTACGTACCACAACCAGACTTTGCTCCTGCAGTCCATCCTCCTGAATACGGACTGTCTTCCCAAATGCTGTGCTCTATATGCATCTAAATTTTGTGTCTAATCTATTTGCCTGCAACCACCTAGTCACCACTTAAGACTTATAAGCACATCTTGTCCCTGAAAACTTCAAAGAATATGTCAAAGGTACACATTTCAGATCCTCAGCTAGTTGGAAACTGGGATAAAAAGCTGACCCCTTATAGCTGGAAACTGACTCAAAAAATAGCTGAAGTGCTGTGCTTGGTACAGTCTAGCATCTAAGAGAAAAACTGCCTGGGTTCTAGTCCCAACTCTGCATTTATTGGTTCTGTGATTCAGGGCAAGTTCCTTAGCCCTTCGTGGATCAGTGTCTTCATCCTTGAACTCGTAATCACAACTCCTTCATAAGTTCTCATAAATTAACACATGTAAAGCACTTACAAAAGAGCTGTCATGCAAAGAAGCCAGGACTGTTGAAAGGAAAGCCTCTTTATCAAACAGTGCTAGGAAAATTGGAAACTTCATGCAAAAAAATGCAACTTGATCCTTAACTAATACATAAAAATTAATTCAGAATGGATTAAAGACTTGGCTATAAGACCTGAAACCCTAAAAAGCTTAAAAGAAAACATCAGTGTTACATTGCGGGACACCAACTACAGAGAGGTATTAGGGGGATGCAACCCCAACAACCGGGGAAATAAAAGCAAAAATAAACAAGTGGGACTATATCAAATTAAAAACTTTTGTACCTTAAAAGAAACCACCAGAGAACAAAAAGGGAGTCTACACACTGGGAGAAGATATTTGCATGTAACACATTTAGCAAAGGGTTAATTCCCAAAATATATAAAGAACTCAGGCAACTCAACAATAACAAAACAAGCCAGTCAAAAAATGGACAAAATTCCTCAATAGATACTTTTCTAAAGAAGACATTCTAATGTCCAACAGGCACATGAAAAAAAAATTTAGCATCATTTTTTGTAAGGGAAATGCAGATCAAAACCACATTAATATATCACCTCACCCCTATATCAGAAAGAATGGAAACAACAAATGTTGATGGGCAGGTGGGAAAAAAGAATCACCCATCCAGTGTTGGTGGGAATGTAATTTGGTGCAGCCTCTATCCAGAAAATGGTATGGAGATATCTTATAAAAATAAAAATAAAAATGGAAATACCACATGATCTAGCAATACCACTGCTAGGTGTTTACCCAAAGAATATGAAAACTCTATTACAAAAAGATTTATGCACCCCTATGTTCAGAACTGCCTTATTCACAATAGCCAAGTCTTGGAACCAACCTAAAAACCCAATAACAGATGACTGGATCAAGAAATTATGGAACACAGATTCAGTGGAATACTATTCAGCTATTTAAAAAAGATGAATTAGTGCCTTTGGGGCAAAATGGATAATTCTTGAGGTGACTATTCCATGTGAAATAAGTCAGAAAGTGAAAGACAGCGACCAAGTGGTTTCACGTATTTGTAAAATATAAATAATCAACTGGTAAAGCACAGCAAAAAAAAATTTTAGAGGGAACTCCCTGGTGGTAAAGGGATTAGGCTCTGTGCTATCACTGCCACAGCCTGAGTTCGATCCCTGGGCAGGGAGCTACCCACATGGCGCAGCAGACCTCTCCTGTCTCACCCGCTGCTCCCCTCAGCAGTGTATTTCATCAGTCTGCCTATTCTGTTCCCCGCTCTGTCTCTGGTGAATCCTCTCACCCCCTGCACCACTGGCCTACACCCTAGTTCATGTACATATAAATAAATAAAAATAGATATTTAAAAAAATAATAATTCTTAGACTCTGAAAAATATGCTGGTTACTGGAAGGAAAGGGAGACAAGGATAGGAGAAGGAAGGGGATAGGACATTGGCACACGAGGCTTGGTGGAAGGTGGGTGAAGCATGAGCACACATGGCCATGTGAAAATATACCCCTAAAGGGCCACCCCGATGGCGCAGCGGTTGAGCGCTGGGTTGCGAAGCTGCCCGCAGCCTCTGCAGCACCGGTTCGATCCCCGGCTACTCCCCGGCCACCGGAGGAGGGTCCCACATGGCGTGCAGACCTCTCCTGCCGCCCGCTGCTCCCCTCAGCATTGTACTTCATTGGTCTGTCTGTTCTGCTCCCTGCTCTGGCTCTGGTGAATTCTCTCACCCTCCCACGCTTCTGACTATACCCAGTTCTTGTGTAAATAAATAAATAAATCTTTAAAAAGAAAAGAAAAGAAAAGAAAATAGACCCCTAAAACAATAGAGTTACTTAAACTACTGGCAAATTCATGCAATTTGAGGAAGAAAAAAAAAGTCCCTGTATTGAATAAGAAGTAGCCATTATTCATTGTTACTTGAATAGATGATATATGTGGGATAACTAATGTTGGTGCCATCTGACCGTATATGTAAGTGGTTAATTGGATGAAGTGGTGTAAGGGGCTGTAATCTCTTTGGAACATTTAAGACACTGTGGAATTGTCTGGTATTACTAGCACTCTTAGTTTTAAACAAGGGAAGACTCTATTTCCAGGAAAATCCGTATCATTATCTAACTCCTAAGATATTATAACAAAGATTTTTTCAAATTATTTTTACCCCATCTTGTTCCAAAATGGTTAGAGTAATTAAACACAGCCCTAAAACTTTTACCAAAAAAGTCTTATGATGATGGCATCATAAGACCACTTAAGAATTAGACACTGCCAGGTGTTAAATCTAGTTTCTCCCATTTATCGATACAAAGACTTCTCCAAAGCCTGAAGATATTTGTGAAGCACTCGGCATTCAGAAATGATTATTATTGTCGTCTAGTTGAAAGAAGATCCCATCAAGGCATTCTTGGCAGGAGGACTAAGAGACATTCAAAGGCAAGAATTAGAGGTTGAGTGATATTGAGTCAGTTCGGAAGAACAGGAACACAATAGCCACACTTCTCAGGTCGCCAGAAGCTCAGCCTAGACCTGGGCAGCTACAGATCGCATCGGCAGGCAGGAGGCATTTCAAATGCTGCTATTTATCTCTTGTTCCATTCAGCCTTCTATCATAGTTAATTATTTCTATGTCTGCCCCTGCATTAAATTGTATCGTTCTTGAAGTCAGTGACCTCATCTTTGTAAAACCCAATACCTGTATAGTTCTCGGCTTTCAGAATCAGGCGTAAATGCTTGCTGAATGAATCAAGAAAAAATACCATCTGCCGGATGAACTCTTAGACATGCGTTAGGGCCCAGTTCTCCCTAAATGAATTGAATTGAGAAAATAGAATACAGATTTCTTTAAAAGAGAAGTAATAAGAATGCTGGATGGAGAATCCCTATGTCAGAGAAACGTTTCCAGAATCATGGGGATTCAGAAAAACTCCACCAAATTGGACTTCACATTTATGCCTGGATTTACACATACAAATTCCCATGTAGATGGTGATGCCATCCGGGTCTTGAAAGTGAACTTACCTGCAGGGGAAGCTGTTGTCAGAACCCCTCTGACTGAACGAGGCTGGAAGTGCAGGTGGTGTCCCAGGACCTCAGACAGCAGCCAACACAGGCAAAACTCCCCAGACCCTGAAACCTGGGAGAGCTTGCAGGTGCTGAGAAGGGGCTCTGCTAGTGCCCGCCTCCCACCCTGCACTGCGCCATGGTTCTGCAATAGGCTGGTGATGACTATTACAACCTCAAGTCCACCCAGTGAGTTTCAGGTTCCTAGAGTTTCCAAGGGCTGCTAGGTACCTGGGTCCTGGCTCAGGCATACTCCTTTTCTGTGGTTTTCTACCAGACCTCACAAGAATAAATAGCCAGGTGCTCAGGTGCAAAGTTTTCTTACAAGCATAGTAGCTGGGGCCTCCCTGGTGGCACAGGGGTTAAGCCTCAGTGCTATCAAGCTATCGCCAGCCACTTCACATGGCATGAGTTTGATCCCCGGCTGGGGAGCTGACCCACATGGTGCAGCAGACCTTTCCTTTCTCACCCGCTGCTCCCCTCCGCAGTGTATTTCAGTAGATCCACCTGTTCTGTTCCTCACTCTGTCTCTGGTGAATCCTCTCATCCCCATCCTCACTCCCACCACCCACCTCTGGCCTACACCCCAGTTCTTATATGCATAAATAAATAAAATAAATCTTAAAAAAAAAAAAAACAGCATAGTGGCTGAAGGCTTCAAAAGGTTTTAACTTCCAGCTGGTAAGGTTTCCCTTTTTCATCCCATAGCTCCCCTGGTATCCCTCCCTAGTTGTGAGTATTGGTTGATATGGACCCCAAAAGGGGGTAACCCCAACCTCAGGGATCTAGAATGTCAGGATGCTCTAGGGGCTTTCCAGGGGTTTCTAGCAGGGAGCAGGGTGTAAGTATGTGTGTGGGACAGGAACTGCTGTGCCCGCTGACCTGGTCTGCGCAAGAGATCTAAACCCATGCACATGTGAGTCTTTCTTTCCCTTTTCTTCTTTGTTCCAGGAATGTTTTCTTTCCTGGACCTGGGGAGTCAGGGAAATCCTGCAAATTGTTATTGCCTTCAGTATTGTAGCAACTTGTGCTGAGATTAGCCCTGCTGGTTTTAATCGGAGCCCTTTGCAATTCCTAAAACAGTCAGGTCCTTGGAATGCAAACCCCAGATTGCATCTCTGCTGGGTGGGTATCAGCCCGTGGGGGCAGGGAGCAGCCACAGAGGGTGGGCGGTAGGAGGACATGCACACAGGGGCCATTGTCCCCTGGACTCTGCGTTAACACAAGTACCATGTGAAATCAAAGACGAGATAGAAGGGGAGGCTAT